GCACGGGTGCATGCATGCGTGTGCAGTGCACCAGTTTGCACGCACTTGTGCAATGCGCAATGGTACAACGCACTGGGACTTGGGCGCTTGTGCAATGCACCAGATCGCGCGTGTGTGTGCAACGCATCGCGGCCTGCATGCAATGCGGGGGATCAGGAATATTGGTGCAATGCACAGGAATGCACCCGCCGGTGCGGTGCATCGGAGCGTGCATGCTGGTGCAATGCACCAGGTTGCACGCGTTGGTGCAATGCACTGGGCTGTGGATGGTAGTACAAGGAGCTGGGTTGTGCATGTTGGCAAAATGCTCTGGATTGTGGATGATCGTGCAATGCACAGGATCCTGCAGGCTGTGCAATGCACTGGATCCTGCATGGGGAAATGCACCACATCCCGCACACTTTGCAATGCACTAGATTGTGCACACTCATGCAATGCATCAGATCCTGCACACTTTGCAGTGCACTAGATTGTGCACACTCATGCAATGCACAGGATCCTGCAAGCTGTGCAATGCCCCGGATCCTGCACGATGGAATGCACCAGATCCTGCACACTGTGCAATGCACTAGATTGTGCACCCTCATGAAATGCCCCGGATCCTGCACACCTGGAATGCACCAGATCCTGCACACTGTGCAATGCACTAGATAGTGCATGCTGGAATGCACCAGGTCCTGCACACTTTGCAGTGCATGAGATTGTGCATGCTCATGCAATGCCCTGGATCCTGCACGCTGGCATGCACCAGATCCTGCACACTGTGCAATGCACTAGATTGTGCACACTCATGCAATGCACCAGATCCTGCATTCTGTGCAATGCCCCGGATCCTGCACACTGGAATGCACCAGATACTGCACACTTTGCAATGCATGAGATTGTGTACGCTCATGCAATGCACCAGGTCTTGCACACTATGCAATGCACTAGATAGTGCATGCTGGAGTGCACCAGATCCCTGTTTGAGCACACGCAGCGCGGCCGAGCCCACCTGCTCCGCGCGCAGCAGATGCCATCGCTGCTATACGGATCCGGCAGCGCATCGCCCGCTCCCCGCGCGTGACAGCTCTGCCCTTTAACAGCAGCGCTTGTGCTAACAACAAGAGGGATCTGCATCCTCCTTTGGATGCTTTTCTCTCCATGGGGGAAAAGGAGAGGTCTGATCGCGCTCTAACGCGATCGGAGCCGGCAGGACGCGGCACACGCGGCGCGGTACACGAGGCTGTCGTCGAGCGAGCTGTTGTACTGGATCTGGTACATGCGGATCCCCGGGAGGTGCTGCTGCGAAGGCCACTGGATGAGAGCGGAGGACGAGGTCACCTCGGCCACCGTCACCTTCTCCTGCTGAGCCTTGGTGTCGTTGGGAAAACTCGACTTGGCGGAGATGAGGATGTCGGAAGGGCCGGGCTCGGCCTCCTTGTCGCAGCTGGTGCTGTTGGCGAGGCTGGGGAACGGCGTGACCAGGAGCTCCACGGGCACCGTGGACTCCCCGGCGGCGTTGGACGCGATGCAGGTGAACGTGCCCTTCTCCGCCAGGGAAGCGGCCAGGATATCCAGCGTCCCGTTCTCGTAGGAGACGGTGCGGGACGTGTTGGAGACCAGCTTCCCGTCGGGCGAGATCCAGCGCACGTAGGGGTCGGGATCGCCCACCGCCTTGCACTTGAGCGAGACGCTCTGGCCCTCGGCGGCCGTGAGGCGCGGCGTGCGGTGCGTGATCATGGGCGGCTCGCACACAAACTCCTCCTCCTTGATGGACCAGAAGTACTTGCCCATGAGCTCCGGCGGCGACGCGCACGTCTCCAGGTCGTCCTCGCGCGTCAGGCGCCGCAGCCACACGAGCTCGCAGTTGCAGTGCAGGGGGTTCCCCCCGAAGCTCAGCACCAGCGACGTGAGCGGGGAGCCCTTGGACTTGGCGTACACCGGGATCCGCGAGAACAGCGGGTCCGGCGGGATCTTCTTCAGCTTGTTGGAGGTCATGTCCAAGCGGGCGAGCTTGTGCAGGTTGGAGAAGATGCCCTCCGGCACAAACTCGATGAGGTTGTGGTCCAAGCTGACCGTGTTGACGTTGGAAAGCTTGGCGATGGTTTCCCAAGGAACGTTAACGAGGTTGTTGTAGGACAGGTCCAGGTCTTCAATGGTCTCAATAAAGTCATCCAGCGACCCGGGAGAGATGTAGTTTAATTGATTGTTACTGAGTATGAGGTGCCGAAGATTAATTAAACCTTTGAAGTGGTCTTCATTGATATAAGTCAGTCTGTTGCTATCCAAGTGCAAGGCGTGAAGGCCTTTAAGGTCAAAAAACGCGTAGGGCATAATTTGACTTATTGTGTTTCTCGAGAGCGTCAAATGAATCAAATTGGTCATGTTGGCAAAGTCCTTCCTGCGGAGCGTGGTGATGAAGTTGTCCATGAGGCGCAGCTCCGCCGTGCGCCGGTCGATGCCGGGCGGCACGAAGAGCAGCCCGGTCTTGGTGCAGAGGATGGTGAAGGAGGGCGCCAGGTTCTGGCACGTGCACCTCTTGGGACACACCATGGCCCTCACGGCGCGCTGCGCGTTGCAGCGCGGGGAGGTGACGTGCAGGGCACGGTGCGTTGCAATGGGGGGACGTGCATTGACTTGGGACATTGCAACAGGGCAGGGTGACGGGCAGGGCACTGTGTGTTGCAATGAGGGGACGTGCATTGGCCTGGGGCATTGCAACAGGGCAGGGTGATGTGCAGGGTGCTGTGTGTTGCAATTAGGGGACGTGCATTGGCCTGGGACATTGCAACATGGTGAGGTGACACGGAGGGCTCTCTGTGTTGCAATTAGGGAACGGGCATTGGCCTGGGGCATTGCAATGGGGCAGGGCGCTGTGTGTTGCAACGAGGGGCATGTGCATTGGCCTGAGGCATTGCAACATGCTGAGGTGACCCGGAGGGCACTGTGTGTTGCAATTAGGGGACGTGCATTGGCCTGGGACATTGCAACATGGTGAGGTGACACGGAGGGCTCTCTGTGTTGCAATTAGGGAACGGGCATTGGCCTGGGGCATTGCAATGGGGCAGGGTGCTGTGTGTTGCAACGAGGGGCATGTGCATTGGCCTGAGGCATTGCAACATGCTGAGGTGACACGGAGGGCACTGTGTGTTGCAATTAGGGGACATGCATTGGCCTGGGACATTGCAACATGGTGAGGTGACACGGAGGGCACTCTGTGTTGCAATTAGGGAACGTGCGTTGGCCTGGGGCATTGCAATGGGGCAGGGTGACATGCAGGGTGCTGTGTGTTGCAACGCGGGGACGTGCATTGGCCTGGGGCATTGCAATGGAGTAGGGTGGCATGCAGGGTGCTGTGTGTTGCAATGGGGGGACGTGCATTGGCCTGGGGCATTGCAATGGAGTAGGGTGGCATGCAGGGTGCTGTGTGTTGCAATGGGGGGACGTGCATTGGCCTGGGGCATTGCAATGGAGTAGGGTGGCATGCAGGGTGCTGTGTGTTGCAATGGGGGGACGTGCATTGGCCTGGGGCATTGCAATGGAGTAGGGTGGCATGCAGGGTGCTGTGTGTTGCAATGGGGGGACGTGCATTGGCCTGGGGCATTGCAATGGAGTAGGGTGGCATGCAGGGTGCTGTGTGTTGCAATGGGGGGACGTGCATTGGCCTGGGGCATTGCAATGGAGTAGGGTGGCATGCAGGGTGCTGTGTGTTGCAATGGGGGGACATGCATTGGCCTGTGGCATTGCAGCGGGGCAGGGTGAGGTGCATGGCTCTTCACTGGAGGGTGCATGGTGCTGTACGTGGCAGAGATGCATGGGGTTGTGCACTGCAAGAATGCACGGCATTGTGCATTGCAACAGGGTGACACACATTGCAATGCAGTGGGGTGACACACAGGGTGCTGCGTTGCAATGGGGCAGGGTGACGTGCAGGGCGCTGTGCGTAGCAAGGATGCATGGTGCTGTGCATTGCGACAAGGCACAATGTGTTGCAGCCATGCATGGCGGTGTGCATGGCGGGTTGCATTGCAACAAGGCACAATGTGTTGCAGCCATGCATGGTGGTGTGCATTGCAGGATGCATTTCAACAAGGCACAGTGCTGCGTGTTGCAGCAATGCACGGCACTGTGCACTGCAGGGTGTGTTGCACGGATGCACAGTGCCTTGTATTGCAACAAGGCACAATGCATTGCACCCATGCATGGCGGTATGCGTTGCAGGATGCATTGCAACGACACACGGTGCTGTGTGTTGCAGCCATGCACAGCGCTGCACGTTGCAGGAGGTATGGTGCTGTGTGTGACAGGGATGCACAGGGTCATGCATTGCAGGCACGCATGCAGCTGCGCATCACGATGCATGGGGCTGTGTGTTGCAGCAATGCATGGTGCTGTGCATTGCTGAAACACCCTCTGCCGAGCATTGCAACAGGGTGACGCACATTGCAACGTGGTGGGGTGACATGCGTGGCGCTGAGCATTGCAAGGGGGTAGGGTGACACGCGTGGCGTTGTGCGCTCCAGGAAGTCAAGGTGTTGCGCATTGCAAAGGGGTGACACACATTGCAACGGGGTGACCCGCATTGCAGCACGGCGGGGTGACACACATGGCACCGTGCATTGCAACAGGGTGACACGCATGGCGCTGTGTGTTGTGACACGGGGTGACACACGTGGCACCGGGTCACTTGACACCCGTGGGGCTGGGGGGACAGCACGTGGCCGGGGTGCAAAGCGTGTGCCCCCGTGCAACACGCGTGTGCGTGTCCCCATGCGAGACATGTTCTTAGCGTGTTCTTAGCGTGTTCTTGGCATGTTTGCTGTGCCCCCTCCCCGCACCTACCTGTGCTCAGGGCTCCATGGTGCCTCCGGGTGCTGCCGCCTCCGGAGCCTGTGGGGAGGAGGAGGCTGAGCCGCTGGTCCTGTATGGACCAATATGGACCAGCATGGACCAATATGGAACACTATGGAGCAGCACGGACCAATATGGAACAGCATGGAGCAGTATGGCCCAGAACCCACCAGCATGGACCAATATGGACCACTATGGAGCAGCACGGACCAATATTGAGCAGCATGGACCAATATGGAGCAGTATGGACCAGCATGGACCAGAACCCACCAGCATGGACCAATATGGACCAATACCCTGCACTATGGACCAGGATGGAGCAGTATGGCCCAGAACCCACCAGCATGGACCAATATGGACCAATACCCTGCACTATGGACTAGGAAACAACAGTATGGACCAGTCCCCCATCAGGACAGCCCAGAATAACCCAGTATCCGCCGGTTCCGAGCTGTGAGATCCCATATAGACCAGCGTGGCCCAGTATGGCCCAGTAGAGGCCAATATGGCCCAGTACAATCTGGTCCAGGACTGTACGGCCCAGCACAGCCCAATACAGCCCAGTATAGCCCAGCGCAGCCCTGCACAACCCAGTATAGCTCAATACAGAGCAGCAGAGTCCTGCACTGCCCAATACAACCCAATATGACCTGGTATGGCCTGGTACAACCCCTACAGCCCAGTATAACCAAGTATGGCCCCATACAGCCCCGTATGGCCCGCTATAACCCCCAACAGCTCGGTATAGCTCAGTACAAAGCAATACGACTCAGTATGGCCCCAGTGCAGCCCGGTACAGCCTGGGCCAGCCCAGTATGGCCCAATGTAGACAAGAACAGCCCAATATGGCCCAGTACAGTCCAGTACAACCCAGCATAGCCCAATACTGCCTGGAACAAGGCCGTACAGCCCGGCACGGTCCAGTACAATCCAACAGACCCTGGTCTGGACCAGTGTGGCCCGGTTCAGCCCGATACAACCCATCATATCCCAGTACGGCCCGGTATGGCTCAGCACAGCCCAAGATGGCCCAGTATAGCTCAATATAGGCCAGTACAGCCCCATACAGCCCAGTACAACCCAATATGACCTCACATGGCCCAGCAGAGCCCAATATGGCCCAGCACAGCCCAGTGTGTCCCAATAGAGTCCACTATGGCCCAGCAGAGCCCAATATGGCCCAGCACAACCCAGTAAGTGCCAGTAGAGACCAAAATGGCCCAGTAGAGTCCAGTATGGCCCAGCACAGCCCAATGTGTCCCAGTAGAGACCAAAATGACCCAGTACAGCCCAGTATGGCCCAGTAGAGCCCAGTGTGTCCCAGTACAGCCCAGAATGGCCCAGTACAGCCCAGTATGGCCCAGCACAGCCCAGTGTGTCCCAGTAGAGACCAAAATGGCCCGGTACAGACCACTATGGCCCAGTAGAGCCCAGTGTGTCCCAGTAGAGCCCAGTATGGCCCAGTACAGCCCAGTATGGCCCAGCACAGCCCACTGTGTCCCAGCAGAGACCAAAATGGCCCAGTACAACCCAGTATGGCCCAGTAGAGCCCAGTGTGTCCCAGTACAGCCCAGTATGGCCCAGTACAGCCCAGTATGGCCCAGCACAGCCCAGTGTGTCCCAGTAGAGACCAAAATGGCCCAGTACAGCCCAGTATGGCCCAGTAGAGCCCAGTGTGTCCCAGTACAGCCCAGTATGGCCCAGTACAGCCCAGTATGGCCCAGCACAGCCCACTGTGTCCCAGCAGAGACCAAAATGGCCCAGTACAACCCAGTATGGCCCAGTAGAGCCCAGTGTGTCCCAGTACAGCCCAGTATGGCCCAGTACAGCCCAGTATGGCCCAGCACAGCCCAGTGTGTCCCAGTAGAGACCAAAATGGCCCAGTACAGCCCAGTATGGCCCAGTAGAGCCCAGTATGGCCCAGCACAGCCCACTGTGTCCCAGCAGAGACCAAAATGGCCCAGTACAGCCCAGTATGGCCCAGTAGAGCCCAGTGTGTCCCAGTACAGCCCAGTATGGCCCAGTACAGCCCAGTATGGCCCAGCACAGCCCAGTGTGTCCCAGTAGAGACCAAAATGGCCCAGTACAGCCCAGTATGGCCCAGTAGAGCCCAGTATGGCCCAGCACAGCCCACTGTGTCCCAGCAGAGACCAAAATGGCCCAGTACAGCCCAGTATGGCCCAGTAGAGCCCAGTATGGCCCAGCACAGCCCAGTGTGTCCCAGTAGAGACCAAAATGGCCCAGTACAGCCCAGTATGGCCCAGTAGAGCCCAGTATGGCCCAGCACAGCCCACTGTGTCCCAGCAGAGACCAAAATGGCCCAGTACAGCCCAGTATGGCCCAGTAGAGCCCAGTATGGCCCAGCACAGCCCAGTGTGTCCCAGTAGAGACCAAAATGGCCCAGTACAGCCCAGTATGGCCCAGTAGAGCCCAGTATGGCCCAGCACAGCCCACTGTGTCCCAGCAGAGACCAAAATGGCCCAGTACAGCCCAGTATGGCCCAGTAGAGCCCAGTATGGCCCAGCACAGCCCAGTGTGTCCCAGTAGAGACCAAAATGGCCCAGTACAGCCCAGTATGGCCCAGTAGAGCCCAGTGTGTCCCAGTACAGCCCAGTATGGCCCAGTACAGCCCAGTATGGCCCAGTAGAGCCCAGTATGGCCCAGCACAGCCCAGTGTGTCCCAGTAGAGACCAAAATGGCCCAGTACAGCCCAGTATGGCCCAGTAGAGCCCAGTGTGTCCCAGTACAGCCCAGTATGGCCCAGTACAGCCCAGTATGGCCCAGTAGAGCCCAGT